TGGCAAGGTGCCCTGGCTCCTTCTGGCCATAATGTTCAATTAAAAGTGTTGTCACCTATAGAACCCTTAATGGCTTGGGGCCAGATTATTTGCAGAACCATCTCTTTGATCAGTTTTGCCCATCTCACTAGGTCTGACAGGTTTGGCACAGTATTAGATCAGCGATGGAGAACCTTTTGGGCTTGGTGAGGCAAAAGTTCAGGAAATGCCTAAGCTGACTCTGCTGGCATGTCACCCACAGACCCCGAGTAAGAAATAGAAAACTCTCTATCCTCTCTTCCCCATCACACATCCACACATCTGGGCCACCTTGAACAGCAGCATCTGGGCTTCAACTTCAGCCCACGTTCTACCACTTCCACTCAAAAAGGCTACCTCACATTATTCCCCAAGCGTGCAAGCCCTGGGGAGTGGTACAATTGCCCCGGTGGTCTAGTACTCCCCAAGATCGCTTACCTTCAGGTGGGGTTCTCTTCCTATTGACAGGGCCCTGCAGCCTACCTGAGGTTGCTCCGGGTCACACGAAGCCTTCTTTCTTGAAGCAGGTTTTGAGAAATCTCCTTTGCAAGTCTCTGCAAACTGCACAGGAACAAGGCGGACTTTCGAGAATAGTTATTCTTGGGTGTTGGTGAACCCTGGTGCGTCACCTAAAATGTGGCATGTCACCCTTGACACATACACATCTTAGATGGCACTATCTAATACTGTGATGTTTTAAAAAATCAATTCCAGTCGAACAAGATACTGAATTATGAAATCAAAATAAATAATTTTAAACCAGAGATTTAGAAGTTTACAGCAATTATATTTTTTTAATACACAGATGACACATATCAGAAATAATTATATTTAAAATAGAAAGTAATATGGATTTTAATGTTTAATGCAGTTCTAATAATGAAAACCTTCTGGAGAAATAAACAATTTTTTTTTTTTGCGTAATACTGAAAAATAAAATAGGTGCCAAACTGAGATTCTATAGGAAAGAATCTCCTCTGGACACAATGAGTGCATTCACATACTGCCTTATGAACTACGTAGGAGCATGAAGACTGTTGTGAGACACATGAAACCAATCAGTATCCATTTTGCAACTCTCAAAACCTTACCACATGAGCGATGTGAAATATTTTGGCTATTTGCATGGCGAAGGAGTGTTAAAGAGATTTTTTCCCCCTTAAAACCTCTAAGCCCCTTCCCCTAATGGGTTGCAATCCCGCCCACTTTAATATGCCATTCTTGCATGCCATATCTTTATTATAAGCCAATTAAGTCCCCAAATTTTGGTTTGGATTTGATAGCTGGCTCTCCTGTCAGAAGAAACAGTTAAAAAGAACTGTAGCTCCTTCCATGGTGAACTGGAAACGTCACTGCTTGTATTCCCCCAACAGTCCAAGGTGGAAATTCAGTGTTTGCAACTCTGACCTCGTGGCTTGAGTTTTATAATCACAACTGGACCACAGCAAGTTAGTAAGGCTGTCATAAATAGATCCACAGAATAAGTAAACTGGTAGATTTGGAAAATGTTAGTGATACGTAGATAGTATAATCAAATAGAAACATTATTTGGCAACAATGAGAGACAATTCCTTCCTTGTATAATTGTGAGCAAGGCTAAACTGAACAACTAACATCTTGATGTAAATATATAGTAAACCTCATTTGAAATGAAGGATGCAATTCGGATGGCATGGTACCATTCCAGAAAAGATGTAGGATTTGAAGATTACATGACGTTGATTCCAGTTTTTCCTTTCCACAAATGGGCAAAAATATTGCGCTCTATAATTTACCAAGAGAGGGAAAGACCAAATGGAGATATGATAAATGTTTATTAAGCACAATAAACAACAAACAGCTCCCTAGACTTCAGGTAATATGAAATCATCTGGAACTAGTTCAGAATAGACCAAAAAAAATATAGTTTCTTACAAAAAGGCAGAGTTGCTCCTGGCTTAGGCATTTTTAAAATCACCGAGGACAAGACCGTTAATGGCTAAGTACTGATTTATGCTGTTTCAGATTGAATATAATAGACTTTCCCATCATGGTGTCCTCCAGATACACTTCATTTCCAAACTTCACAGCTATTATAATATTTGGGAATACTGAATTACACAATCAACACCTCCAAGTAACACCACGAAGAAGTCCATGCCTTTTTTTATTCCACACACAGATATCTAGAAGTATCTGAGTGGCTTTCTGTGACAGAAAATGAAACTAGATAAACTTCTGGGTACCGGTAATTGCATTTCAATATATTAGGGGGGGGAAATGATTAAACTAAAAATGTTAGAAAAGATTTTTTTTTACTGACAAAAAAGCACATTTCACTGCCCATTATTTTAACTGCAAGCAAAAAAATTGTGAAGCTTATTAAATAATCAATTTTAAAAAGGAAAGAAAGCACTACATTTATTAGTAATTACTAAGGAGCAAGAAAAAAACAATATAGCAAATATATTTGCTGCATAAAATACTTTTAAAAATAAAGTTCTTATTTTTAGGAAGTAGCTATCCTCCATTAGCAGATAATACATAACTGGGGATGGTAATCAATATAAAACACATAATTTTGGGTTGTTGACCGCAAGGGGACATAGGGGAGAATAAAAGCAGGAGAACTCAATAGCAAAGAGTACAAATAACTATCTCAGGTTCAACTTTATCAGCATTATTTAAGTAGGAAAGTCGTAAACCACTTTTTGTAATACCTCATAGGGCAAGTAGGGAAAGAGAAAGGTGCTTAATTCTCCCCCCCCCCTCCTACTTTTCTTCATTACAAAGTGCACATGTTGACTTTTCTTCAAACTGAAACATATTTTAAAGATCACTTGCATGAAAAAGAACTTGGAGCTGCTAAGAAATATTTACAAAATGCAAATACCCTAAACTAGCTTGCAATTAAGAACAAAGCATAGCTGAGACACCCAAACTTCTCATCTATCTAGTTCAGCTCTCACATTTGAATAAAAAATGAAATTCTACCTAAACACGTGGTTTCATTATTAGACTACTACAAATGCCCAACACCCACTATTCATCTTTAAAAAAATACTCTACTCAGCTATTCTACATTTTTTGAAAAGTGTACTGTATCCCAACAATTCTACTTTTTAAAAAATACTCGTAAGAGAGAGAAAAAAGTCTTATTTCTGTTGCAAATTTGACCGTCTGCCCCAGGAAAATTCCCATTTCTATTATTTGGACCTACTTTTTCTTTTGGTGCTAAGCAGCAAAGAACCATTTAACAGAGCTCTTTTACATTTTAGTCAGGACGCATAACCTGCAATCACAGTATTCTGTAGTAATGCATAAGTTCTACCCATCCATTTCTTGGTGTGGTGCCTGTGGTGGCACTAAGGCTGCCACCAAATACTGAATATGACAGCAGGATAAACTATTACACATATACATCTTACATATACATAAGAAATAAAAAAAAGTAAATCAAATTGAATGGAGGTGTGGCCTGACTTCTTTTGGAACAGAACAGAAATGACATATATTCAGGAGTGAGAGGAATTCTAATCAAAATAATCATTAGCAGCAGCATTCCCATCTAAATCACAGTACTGATTTGGTCAGGGGAAAAATATAGACTAAACTCTGAATTATTGTAGGCAACTGAGATAAATAAAAAAGCTATATATTAGCAAGTGAACTAGAAAAATTAAACTCATTTAAAAAACAAACAGTGGCTACTGCACATGCAACTAAGTTATGGGTTGTACATCAAATATATCTGAAATTGTTTACTAATTACTCCTGATTATAGATCAAGCATTAAGACGTTATTCCATACACAGTGCAATTTCTCACCCACAGAAACATAGGAAAATAATATATACTACATGTATGTAACTTTCTCAGTGACCAATAGGCAATCTACCATTTGATTGCTTCCATTTTTGCAAGGTGCAAATGTTTAATAAAAAGTTTTTGTTGTGCAAACTGCAACTACTTTGATTAAAAACAAGCAAACTGGTAAACTTCTGCTATCTAGAAAGAGATCCAGTGTCTTGGTCACAAAATAAACTGCAATTGAAGGATTGCAAACGAAAAATTTATACTTCGTTCATTAGAGAAATGCTAATCATTATGACGGGGAAGACCAGTCATTTTGCTTAGAGCCCAGGGAAAATGCAATTAAACAGATTTTTTCTGTGATTTTTTTCAGAGAAAATAACAATGGGCAGGTTGATGATGTATCAATGAGAACATTCTAATCATTCTAAAATGACCCTGATTGGATTTTGATCCCAATCCCATCTGTATTAATGACATTTAGCCTTTTTTTGGGGGGGGGGTCTGTTTTTGACAGAAGATTGTAAACATGGTCACAACCATCTTCAGAATGCAAATTTTCAATTTTTCATCCCATATTGTGGCTACTACTCAGAAAATGTAAGTTAGTCAAGAAAAATACATTAGTTGCGTCATTCCCAATAACATTTTAGCCAGAAATATGGCATAATTCAAAATATCAAGAATGAAGAGTATCGAAGATGATTTAAGATAACTACCTTAACTTAGATTAATTATTATGCTGGTCATTAAGATTTGATTGATAAATTAACTGCACAGATTCAAGCCAGGTTTCTATACATGCATTTAGATTATGCAAAAATTTGCCTCTCGGAACTGTTATTCTTTCCAAATAATGACTAGATTAAATGTTTAATACTTCTGGTATGTGTAACTTTCACAAATGTAATACTGTTTCCTAAACAGGGAAAAGATAGAAATTGGAAAAAAACTTTAGACTTCAAAGTTTTGTGCAGTCTTACTGCTTGCCTTTCACTAATTTTACTAGGGTGGGAAGAGAAAGATATATTTCAAAGTAGCAATAGCAATAGCAGTTAGACTTATATACCGCTTCATAGAGCTTTCAGCTCTCTCTAAGCGGTTTACAGAGTCAGCATATCGCCCCCAACAATCCGGGTTCTCATTTTACCCACCTCGGAAGGATGGAAGGCTGAGTCAACCTTGAGCTGGTGAGATTTGAACAGCTGAACTGCTGTCAGCTGAAGTAGCCTGCAGTGCTGCATTTAACCACTGCGCCACCTCGGTATTTCATGTACATATTTCCGTACTGAGCTTGAATATAACAGCATTAATCTCAGATTATCATGCGTTCTATATTACCTATACTAAAAGAATATATACCAAACTCAATGCTTTATCTTTTAGAATAGTTGTATATTCCAGATAATTTTATAGCATGTTTGTTTAAAATAAGATAGGTACTAGTATGTCACAGCTGCCATTAGATGGCAGTGTTCAACAGCTTTCCATTGAAATACAGTATTAGGTTAAGGTTTAGTTTCAGCAATTGTTATACAGTAATTAAGTAGTGGAATAAATACATTTTAAGATTTATACGTTGATTTTTGGATTTTAGGGATTAACAGATAGAACAGAACTTAATAGAATTTTATAATTTTCCTGTCTAAAAGGTGGGGATGCAAAAAGCTGGGAGCTCAATCACCTTCAATCTCTCCTAATGAAACTGCAGAACAGCAGCTTTCCTAAGGTGCCATATCAAAAATTGAATGTGTTACTTATTGGATTATTATCTTTAAGGTATACAGGCTTTTCTACTAGCCACTATGTAATATTGCATGTCAAAGAGCAACGTTTTTTCAAAAATGTTAAACCCAAGTTATGACCATATTTTCCATCTCCAATTACTCTTCAAATTTAAACTATATTTCATAATGTTCTAGCATTGGTGCTAAACATTTTGGTGCTTTTCTAGGGGGAAATGTAATGTTACCCCTCCCTTCTCATAAGAGATACTAAACTGGATTGGTATTTGGCATTCATTAGATAAGGTAGCAAACTTTACATAGAAACTGATTCATATATAAATGAAAAGGAATAAGTGCAATTTTAGATTGATCAATCCAATGGGAAAGAAACCCCCATTTCTTGGACATTCTTTGAGACAAGACCCAGAATCCTTTCTAGACTGTAATCTGTCCTAGAGCTGACACGTTCAAAATAGCAAGTCCTGGAAGCAGCAATAAAGGTTCTAAAGATGGACAGACGAGGCAGTTTGTTTCCTGCACTTTGCTGGTTTATAGAATATTCCCAGATGTGACTAAGAATGCCCGACATTTAGGACACACCTGCAACATTTATTAAATGAGATTAATAATATTCCCAATTAGGTAACATCACTAGAAACTAGTAATTTAGATCCCTTGATAAGACACAGCTTCATATTCCCAGCTGTCTATCTTATTTATTTCTGACCAGATTTTACGGCTACCCGTAGAGATCCAAGTCAGTTTCAGAGCCCTTTCTTCTGGAATGCTTCTCCGTTTACTTTCACAGATGAACCATTTTTCATTGCTGTACCACTAAAATTCCAGTCAGCAGGCGAAGAAAGTTGAAGAGTCTTTTTGTATGTCCAGTAGGGATTAAGTATGAAGGTAACAGCGCTCAATCCTGTTAATAACACAGTAAAATATAAGAGTCCCAGATTTTCCATCACAGCATTCCAATTGGAAAGACACACCCACCACATATGGTAGGTAAGCATCATGCGGCAGTGAAACATGTGGATCATTATCCATTGACTTGCCTTCCAAAGGAAAGTATTAGCCCGGCCAGCCTAGAGAAAAGGAGAAAAAAACCCAAGTTAAAATACCAAATAGATAGAATTTAAACGTATTTCACATGAAACAAGAACCATACTTGCAAAGTTAAAGCATTATAGAATGTGACTACTTCCAAATTTGTTGAAAGTTATGAAAGAAGCAGGGAATCTGAAAGAAAACTAGCTTGTGAGTAAAAACTTGATTAAACATCTGGATCACCTTTTGGAGGACAAAATGGAATGTCAGCAAGAACAACTTAAGTTCTTCCAATTTGAGCAAATTCATGCCTTTTTGTCTCATGACTGAAAAGCGTCGCTCAAAGGAAAAATAATCTTTTGCTTTATAATCCATGCCCTACATCAGTTACAGAACTGGAAAATGCAGGAGAAAATGTCCCAACATATACCAGTAAATCTGCTCCAAAGACTGCTCCAAAAACAGACTTATTCCACAACAGATCTAGATTTCATCTGTGGAGTTTAAGCAAATCCGTAGAAAATAGTACTGGCTACCTCTTAATTTAGATAAAAAAGAAGGATGTTTCCTGCCATATTATCCCAGGCTGTATTACCATGAAGTAGAATTCAATTGAGAAGAAAGAGCCAGTTTAATCTAGTAATTAAGGTAACATGTTAGAAAGCGGGAGACTGTGAGTTCTAGTCCCACCTTAGCCATAAAAGCCAGCTGGGTGTCCGTGGGCCAATCATACTCTCAGCCCAACCCACCTCATGGGGTTGTTGTTTTGGAGAAAATAGGAGAAAAGTGTCTCCTCTATTTGTAAAAATAATAAAGGCAACATATACATGAATGTGTCCTTTACTATTCTAAATCCATCTTACTAAACATCTTTATGGTGTTCGAAGTACTCTTCTAACAAGGATATTATTAAATTGGAGGCTTCAGTATTCTGATATAAACTTATTATAACATGCAATGTCTCCCACCTATCCCAATATCTCTAGTCTAGAGAATAGCTTGAATCCTAAGGCAGGGGAAATCTGAAAATTTCTAACCTCTCCTTTCTTTTACTTACTCAGGGCATTACTTAGCAATATAAATCATGTTTTATGTGAACTCAGTTAAAATTATACCAGTACAGTATGTTCAATTCCAACAGTATCTCAAAGGAAACATTTGAATTTTGAGTCAGGTTCCAAAATTGCTGTGATTATTTCACCTAAACATAAACAGATGGTCAGGAACCTCCTAGCACAACTCGGCAAAATCTAAGTAAATGATACCTACTTGATCTTGACATTCATATCAAAGCATAATAACCCACAGTGTTTAAATTGCTCAGTTGTTCCTATGAATTTAATTGTTCCTTAATATTTTGAAAGAAATCCTGGAGATCATATCTGCTTGGAAAGACCATAGTCTGACAAAGCAGTTCTTCATCTAATATGTGGGTAGTTCATAACTAGTCAAATATAGTAAAAAGTATACCCAAATGTTTTTCAATTGATGTTACTTACAATTAGGTTCAAACTATTAATAAGAATATTTTCACAAGTGATTATCCAGATTTTCAATCTTTATAAATCAAAAGTATCATTAACCATAACTGATGTACCTATTCTCTTTTACTTTTAATATTCAAATCTAGAAAGGACTGGCTGGGTTCATATAATTTACTCTCTTGTTTTCCATAGTTATTTTAATCTAGAAGAGTCGGGTTGGGCTCACATAATATATTCAGCCTAGATTGTGAAAGTATAACTTAAAATAACAGGCACCAGTATCCCTTT